ACCACTGTGAATACAATCTGAGAAAAGAATGGCATAGAACAACATTGTACAATCCCAATCAGCTCTGTTTCCACCAATCATGGTTGTAAGGAGATGTGCATTTCTTGTTTGGTTCCGAGCAGATTCCTTGTTTTTAAAGTCCACTCCATTTCTAGCTAGATCTTTCCATTCCCCTGACGGTGTCGCACGGTAGAGATTGTCCCATTCTTGTTTGAAGATGATTCGCAGACCCTCGGTTAATAAATCAGTGACAACGTAACAAATCCTGTAGTAGTTGAGCTGTTCTTTGCTAAATTCCATCGCCATGACGATATTCACGTTTGATGAGGCCTTGGCAGAAACAAATTGTTTTTCATTAGCGAGTTTAATCAATTTTTTTCTCAGCATCTGAATCGGTTTTACTCAGATGGCATCCACCAATCACAGAATTGATTGCAGTAACCATAACAACAATCAGTTTAAGAAAAAAAAATGGGAAATTTCCAAAGTTAAGGACTTTTTTATTTAATTTAGAAAATGACTCTATCGGAGATATTTTCTCTAATAAATGTATTTGTTTTTCTCGGAAATTGTAATGGTTATGATTAATTGGTAACAGGACTTCGTGTCGTCCAACATAGTCAGTAATCATACTCGTGATTGACAAATCGGACTCCCGCTTTGCTGTCTTCCAATTTTGAAATCACTCTTATATATGATTTCAGACCGAATTGGACTCCACTTGGACTTATTACCACTATCTATTGGCTGTTTGAAGTCCAAACTGTCCGATTTCACTTGTCCAACTACCCGCAAGTGTTTGTAATTGGACAGGCCAAATCGCACAGTTCAGAATCCAATGACAATGAACAGCTATTCACCAAAGTGGAGGTGGTTAGTGGTAAATATTTACCGTGCCGCGAAGCGGCGAGGTAAATATCCACCGCTAACCACCGACACTCAGGTGAATAGTTGTTTTAGTATTATACTAAATCAGTGAGATAATATACACCACCAGAAATTAATTTGAGTAATTTCTTCGCTTGTCACGGATGCAAACCGAGACGCCATTTTTTCCCGAGTTGCTCAGAGGTAAATAGCAAAGGATATTCGGAGTTTGACTTGCCAATCAGAGCGCGTTGTCAACGCTATCCACTGTTTTAGTATATACTAATAATATATATCTATTTCTATAGCGCATTTCCATGTAAATGTTCTCATGCGCTTTACAACACTGTGTGGGGGACTTTTCCCAATATAAACAAAAAAGCCATTAGCTAATAAAACTTAACAACCTAGCCGATACCAACCAATCTAAATGAAAAGAAAAACCACCCAGTAAGTGGGCAGGTTGATAAGTCCACATTGGAAACAAATAACAAAGTGGTCCAATGACTATTATTTGGTATCAGTTATAAGAAAGGTATGCGCTCGTCCCTGAGTTTACGTGCATTTTGTTATTGACACAATAAATTGGTAATTGCAAAGTCGGTTGGGCTATTTCCTTGAATAGAATCACACGTTGCGGTGTTGCGAGGCGATCTCGAATTTTGCAGTGTGCTGTGTCCGTGTGGTCGACGTGACAAACATATTTACGCTGTTATTTTCATTGTTCAGTGGACCTTTGTACAATTATCGAGGACCCTTGTCAGCACTGAGTTTAGCTTATTCGGGTGGCAAAATTCCATTACAAGAGGATTAAAGTAGAGCTAGATCAACTGTATTGATAAAGTAACATACGATGTGCTTAGTAGCGATGGACCCATTTGAACTTGCGAGAAAACATCAGTAGTATAGTAATCGACTTTATCTCTAATCCCTGCAAATACGTAGCGTGGGTTTAATTTGTGCCAGAGAAGAACATTTTTATGGGTAAATCAGGTACGGGCTTTAAACACGTGACAGTATGGGTATTCAGTCAAATTTTCACGCGATGATGCAGTAAGTTCAGGACTTTTTTCGCGGTGTCATCGCTACTATAAAAAAGTACGAGGTCAAGAAAACCGTCAATCATTCTGCCCCGTTTTACGGGTACTTTGTTTTGTTGAAAAATAGCGGCACAGAATCAAGAACTTATACATCCTGCCAGACATTGAAAAGGTTTCGATTGCAGGTTTCCCAAACAATGGAAAGCGAAAGTATTCGAAGCGAAAATTCCCTTGTCTCTAGTGCATCGAATTACCTAGACAGGGCAGGTAGGGCGACTGTACCAAAACGTTCGTCTCTTAATGAATAATACCCACTGTTTCATGAGATTCTTCAATAATTCAGCACAGAGACATGGATTTCGCCCCAACAAGTCGTTTTGTCAAAATGATCATCCGCTGCTACATGAATGACAGATCGATACGTGACAAAACGAAATCACAGGGTCGTAATAACGTATGTGGCTTGCATAATGATCCCAGTTTTCATCTATATTTTGTGATCCATGTTCCAAAAATTTCGGATAATTTTGATCCTTGATCCCAAAAACTTCAGTGATCCCGTCTGAAAAAATTGGTCCAATCTCAGTTGTAGTGATCCCTATTTGCTGGCCAGGTCGGAGAGGCTTAAGCGATGTGCTGGCCATTGCCATTCACATGGAAATTATTCTTAAACCTACATTTTTGTTTGTCTTTACGTCTGTCTATGTGTCCAAATAGCTCTGGTGACCACGAACGTCATCTTCGACTAAAAATAATACCAAGAAGAAAAATAGTAATAAATGAAGAAACACAAGAATGAGACTGCTTCAGTGGACTCCTCAATAACATGAATTAATGAAAGGAGCGAACCCGTTACACTTCATGCTACCATCACGCAACCGAATAGCTCCTGAAAAAAATTCCTCATCAAAAATCATTAAAAGCAGTTTTGAATACAGTTGGCATTCGACGATCTTTTTATGGCTCGAAATTTGGGTGCGCCACCTATAATGCAAGTTCAAAGGTGTCAGCGCTCTAATCAACAAAGGCCAAACTGAGCAAACGCCACCTCATTCGCAGTCGTTCTTGGGAAGGATTTGATGAAAGTGCCTTAAACCAAGGTAAGTCACAATCAGTACGATGACATCACAAATTGGGGACTGGTGAAAAGCGGAACGCAAATAAAATATCTGGCTGCAAGTTGCATGGATTTCCAATTTCTCCTTTGCTCTTCTTAAGACTCAGAGTATATTCAATCTGTTTGAAGAACAGGACAAATTTCAAAAGAATGGAAATATATATCTCTGTTTATTCACAACACAGCTCTAGTTTTCACTTTCCTCCTCTTGAGCGCATGGAAACGAGTTTGGTTTAATCTGTCGTGAAGTTAAGTGATATTGCCTAAGGTTATAAGTTTTAGAGTCAGCAAGTAATTGACTTTTCGATGCATGGATATGGAGTACATATTCGTCCACGTTGGAATTTGCAGGATGCCTGACATGCTTTTAAAAAGCTGTTAATAAGTGACCAGTCATTGTTGCGGGGGGTCCGGAGGATTTTGGGGGGTCATATGGTTCTCGGGGGGAAGAGAAAGGGATCAGTTGGCGCTAACAGAGTATAAGGAGTAGGGGACTTGAAAGGAAATTGATTGAAAACAAAAAAATATAATTTCTTGCTGTAAATTAACTGCCAATGCGGTGGGATCACAAGAATATCACAGAGCCTTATGGGGAATCACTTAACTTTTGTCCCGACACCACCGAAATCCTCCGACCGCCATACTCCCCATCCGAAGAAATTAAAAAAAAATTGAATTAGAAAATTAAATCAAAACGAAAAAGACACTCCTTGGGGGTGGCGCTTTTGAAAAAGACGCAGCGTTTGTTATGACGCATTGATGCTCAAGAGAAGTGTTAATTGAGCGGATAATCTCTGTGGTCAGTGAAGACCACACACTTTATTTGCACCGCAGACTAGGGAAACAACTCCACTTTCATCGCATGAACAACTTGCGTGATGTTTGCCGAGTGTCTGAAAGTGGAGTTTAACATACGAATACTGATCAAGAACTTTCGTCATGCGTTGACCCATGAAACCATGATAACATTTAATTGAAGACCTGCAATCTTGAATACCTGAGGCTTTTTCTTGTAAGGTTTCTTTTTTTTTTTGCAAAGGGAAATAATCCGTGGCATGTGAATCGTCTTCAAAAACACGAGTAAACATATTCTTTCAAAGAAACTGTCTACTTGCGAGGCAGGCTCAGTGATCCGGCCAAATAAAGGTCTGCACAGGTGATCCTGAGAAATGATACGCGCGACTTGTCCTAACACATTGGAAGTAGTGAGCCATATCACGACAGGAGCAAATATATTGCGGAGTGTATTTTACTACAACGATGAAATTAAGAGCGTTATGTCTTTGGTGAAAATTTTCAGGGCGTACTTTCACTGATAGTAGTTGTGAGCTTATCCTTTAGAAGTAGTGATAATATTTTTTGGCTCAACAGGTATAATCATGATATCTGTCAAACCGCAAACCGAAACAAAGGACACTAATTGTCAGAGGCTGGCCACCACATCCACGAGAATTTTTGCAAGCGTTGGACAGCCTTTTCTACCAATGACTATATGACTCATACGGCCTTTAATGTACATTTGTAACTCTCAGACTGTAAAGTTCACCGGTAATACTGTCGCAT